TGGGGCTGTGTGGAATGTGCATTTATAGAAAAAATATATATGCGTGCATTTAGGGAGGGTGCATTTAGAGAGGTCTCGCTGTATATATATACATATATACATCAACTTAATATTATACATAAAAAAAAATAAAGCCTGAACCGTCTGTGAAGTATTATCTAATGAAAGAACCAATAATCGGCTGAATAAGCCACTTTCACGATTGCGTCACCTTGATAATGAGTTCCACCTGATTAAAAGCAAGATAAAGTGATAAAGTGAATGTTTATGAATGGGTTATCAGATCGAATAAATTTAGAAAAAATAAATGAAGAAAAAAAAAGAATATTTACAGTATTCATCAGGAGGAGGATTTCCTTCTACGGTGTTGACCCGTAGGACGTAAGTGATATCACTAAATCTTCCTTTGCCTTCATGATGCTGAAATTTTCAAGTAGAGGAGATTAATAGAATCTTTTTAAAGGACCAATTTAGTAATACATACAGTGGCTTTATTAACAAGCCATGGAAGATTCATCTTTCCGTCAGGTGAAACATTTGTTGCGACATTTTTCGCCACTAATAAAGAATCATCTCCTTTAACCAACGATTCCCACACGGCCCTACCTTCGTGAATAGCTAGAATTTGTGTTGTGTTGATAAGATTAAAAAAAAAAAAATGATTTTCATGTATTGGATCCGAGATCTGCAAAGCACAAGTACTTACGTTTTTTTAACATATAATGATAGGCAACTTCATATTCTGGCACAAAAGTTTCAGTGCGTTTATCATTCACGCAATACGTGTCGGGGGTTACTACGCGTTTAAGATAAAATGTATTAATCACCCTGGAATTAATAAGCGAACAAACGAAGAAAAAAAATTTTTTTAAATTACCTTGAGTCCAATTGTTTGGAACATGTTCATTAACTACACATTTATAAATCTGCACCCCGTAAGCCGAGAGTAAGAATTTGAATTTATGATCATTTGGGACCGAGATATTTTTTGGAAGGGGAATATCCGGTTTCTCTAATTTATCAAGACAAAATATTTATATAATTTTTTTCGTTAAATGTCCGATAAAAGCTCTAACACGCACCAGTAATAGTTCCGATTACATTAACTTTTGGAAATTTGTTATGAGGGTATGAATTTATCATTAAACAATTAATGATACAAAATGCAGACACAATAAAAAATAACGCGAAATTCATGTTTTATTAAATCTTTATTTCGTAAAAAATTTTTTTTACCGAAATTTTGAAAAAAAAATAAATCCGTTTTAAATTTATTTTAATTTATATTAATTATTGATACGCGAACGATTGATCACTTGAATTCGTCTTTATGATGAAATTTCCTGTATAAATTCTCGTTTATTTCCCTTATTTCATTTTTTTTTTTTGTGGGTAGGCCTTTTTTACATAATTAGACGATCATTATTTTTTTTTTAGTAAAGATTTATAAATAGAATAATGGTTTTTTTTTATTTTGTTCATATTTCATATTTATAAACTCCGAAACATCTCCGTCAAATTTATAATCGTTTTGACAGCCTCTAGGGCTTATGCTTGTGACCAAGAAGGAAAACCCCTAGCGGCTGCCCTGCCTTTACTTTTCTGGTGTTTAAACCTGTACTTTATTATATTTTTATCCTTTCCTTTTTTTTTTTTTTTTGAATGTTGTTAATCATGATCCAATTCCACGGGTGAACCAATTTCGTAATTAACTTGATTTTTTTTTTAAAAAAATAGATATATACAAAGTAGATATACATTCACAAAAGACGCAATGTAAACATGAGCAAATGATAATGGAGTTACAATATAAACGCGTTGAAATCGTGTTGAAATCGGTCTAACTTGAAATGCATTCAAAGTATTTACATTGTAAATCCTATAATATTGTTGCATCTAAAAATATCAAATTACCGAATAGGTCTAAAATTCCTAAAATTAGGATGTCCTACATGAATCGGAATTCGGGATTTCATTGTTTGAGATATCATTGAGAAAAAAAAGTAAGAAATTTATTTATTTTATTTTTTTTTTTATAGAACTTTTTAATTTATTGGAGAATTTAGATTTTTTTAATGTAATTAATTATTGATGGTTTCAAAACATTTTGTAGGTGTGACGTTCATATTAATAAGGATATAAACAACTCTCTTTACCTAATTCTTTTCATCTTTGTTCCGGACCAGAAGTTTGTTTTTTTTTGTTTTTTTTTTTTTTTGCGCTAGTTACCCGTTAAAAGTCGGTGCATAATTGCATGATGCATATAATAAAAAGGAACAATTTTGGTTCATTATGCCAACTTATAAAGATTTCCTTATTTGAGTCAAAAATCGTGGATTCTTTTTTGTTGGACCATTAGGGTTTTATATGATTTATTTATTTATTCTATTTAGGTAACTTTTTGATGGATATATTATCCTTCAGCCCGCATAATTCGCCTCTAAATTGTAACACAACCTTTAGGAATACCAAACCTTAATTTGCATGGGATTGCCCAAATAAACAAAATAATAGTGAATCTATTTATAGGTTTCTAAATTCAACGAATAGTGGGAAAAATCAAATTTTTTTTTTGTCACAAAAAAAAAATTTTTTTAACATTTTATTGTAGGAGAGTAATAGATGTAATTACAATAATCCGGCAGGATAAATTTTGAATTGAGGGAACATGTAGGAACATGTAATAAATTAAATAGATAAATCCTTTTCCAATAATTTAGTCTCTTGAATTCCACTCCAAACGTTAGCAACACGAATTTTAAATACTTCAGGATTCAATTTAACAATCTAAATGATGTATATGAAACAATTGCTTGTGTCATATGGTAGAGAAGCTAACTTGACGATATTATTAGGATGTCTTCTTAAACGTATTACATTCGACAATAAATCAATATTACAATTTAAAAATGGGTAAAACATTACGTACATGAATCAGAAATGGCCAGTAGCTTTTTTCCTTCAATGGCATACTAAAAATTAAAATTAATCGATTACGATCTTCAACCTAATTCCTAATTCCTTGTTTTAAAATCAATTTTGAAGTCACACTTAATTATTTTTTTTCCGTTATAAATATAATTTTTTTTAATTGCCATTTTCAACAAGTTTCGTTAAACCTATGTTATTAAAAGAAATCATTGTTGATTGAGGACGAAAAAAAGAAACCCTTTTCGGGAGGCAGTGAAAACTAATAATGAAAGGGATGTACATTGAGATTCGATATAATGAATACATATTCGATAAATCTACATCTTTGAACGGATAGATCCGTAATTTCACTTTGCATAAGTTATTATTATTTGTCATTTATTATTTTCACTATTTGAATACATCCGAGAAATTTCCTATTAAATTTAGATGATAGAAGTAATTTGAAAATTTTTATTATTACTGTATTAGAATTTATGTAGAATTTTTTTTTTTTAAAAGTAATTATTACACAGATAGGTAAAGAAAAAAATCTTTTTTTTTCTTTGAGCAAATAAACGAGGCTCAAATGTAAAAAAAAGAAAAAGAAAAAAAGATATATATATAAAAATATATATATAAAGAGTAATGAATTCAAGATTATATATGAAATCAAAAAAAAAAATATCGAATCAAAAGAAATCAAAAAATAAAGTTCTATGAGAAGGTGCTGAAATTTTATTTTATTTTACTTTATTTTTATTTTTATTGATTATTTTTATTACTATTACTATTATTATGATGATTATTTTTATTCGGTTCTTTGTCGTTTAGCATTGTTTTCATCTGATTCGCCGCTATATTCGTGATCCTTTCCTGCAGGTTTCATAGGAATTTCACTCTTATCGCCATTCGCTTCTTCTACGATATCAGCTTTAGGAGTGATAGTTTCGTCTTCTTGAGCGGTTGTTATGGGAACGTGACAAAGTTCAAGTTTCATTCCATCAAGATCCGCCCAAAACACTAGGGTGAGAAATCACGTGACAAGCGAATTAAAAAAAAACCCCATTTTTTCAAGCATATACACAAATTTTTACAAAAAAAAATAAAAAATAAAGAAATATTTACCGGCGTAATAACCAGGAACATAATCGTATTCTCTGGGTTCATCCAAAACATTGTAATTATTTTCCAATAAAAATTCATGAAATTTATCAACTTGTTCACGAGTCGAAGAATTTAATGCTAGGTGATGAAACCCGACCGAATATCTTTCATGTTTGGATTCTTTATTTTCTGAACGAATTGGAGAAATAACAATTTGACCTCCGCTAGTTGCATTTAACCAACTCGTATATTTATCATTCGTAACCGTCTGTTTATATCCTATTTTTAAAAAAAGGGAAGGAATAATAAATTAAATTGGTTGTCAAAAGAACATGATTATAAAAACAAAAAAAAATCAAGTGAACCATTAACTTACCAAGCTGGGTTAGAAAAGAATCATAAAATTTAATACTTTCTTTATAATCACTGACACAAAGTCCTAGATGATTTAAAGAACCGAGTACAGCCATTTTTACCGGGATAAAAAAAAAAATTTATTCAAATTATGAAATTAAGATAAAAACAAAAAATGAGGAGAGGAAAAAGATAGGAAGAGAGAGAGAGAGAGAAAATGTAAAAATCGAGACGATGGGAATTTTCCGCTTGTTCTTGAATTTAATTTATACAAAAATTTGTGAGAAAATTTATTGTTTACCGAATTTAGTATTTGTTGTTGTATATCTAATAAAAATAAATTTCTGACTTATAAAGAAAGAAACCGCTACCTGATAATCCTTTTTCAATGAAAAATCAACTTATTCGTGTTTATTGACTTGAATTATTTTAGTAATTTATTGAAATAAATGAGGGAATATTGTGTAGAACTTAAAAATGATTCGGGTCCCTTAATAAAATTTCCTATTTTAGCATGAATGTAAACTAATATTTTTTTTGACGTAATTTGTTTTTCAATGCTTGCATGCTCTTTCTTTTTATCCACCCATTCGATGCCGTATAACAATCAACCAAAGGTTAACTTTTTTAGAAAACAAAACCTGAACAAAGAATTCATCCAGATACCTTTTTTTTATTTCCTTTCCAATTTAGAGAAGATTTAAAAAAAACCTTTGTCAACTAGTTCATTATTGCCTAATTCAATTTCCCGTGATGCTTTTCTACTAAGTGAATAAGTTTTTCAACCTTGTCATGCACTATTTGTAAAATAATTTTAAGTCTTCCATTTTTCTAATGAAAGAATTTTTTTTTTTCGTAAATTATGAAATCTTTTCGAACGGAATTAATGACATTTTTCTTCGAATCTAATTAATGATAGTTACCTCATTAAATTGTTGAAAAAAAGTTTTGGTAAATCCTCCTTCAGTAATGATCTTTCCGGTATACGTATACCGAAGGATAATATCAAATATCAAGAAATATAATGCCCTTTCCCAAAGGAGTCATGAGATTTACATCATTCTCTACCAGTTTCGTACATTTTTTTCAAAATCATCGGATAAAGAACTAAGCACGTCTTAAATGACCTGATTGAAAATATGCTCATTTCAAAAAAAGAAATTGGCCCAAATTTAGTAACTTGAATGACCAATTTATTCTTACTGAGAGATTATTCAAATAATTTTATTTTAATATTTATTGTTCAAATTTACCATTTTTTTTTTTTAAAGAATCAAAGTATCATAATAAAGAATCTTTGCAAAGAATTTCAAGTCAATCAAACTCTTTATCGAGGGTAAACTTGAAAATATTAGTCTTATAAAATAAATCTGTAATGATATTTATTTTTTTATTATAGTTGTATATATATTTTTTTGAATAACTAATAGCAATCAATCAAATTTTATTCTTTAACTGTATATAAATTATTAGAACTTTCAAAATCTATGTGCTGGATCCATTGAACCCATGATATATGTATGTATTTTTATATATATTACTTTTTTTCTATCATAAATCTCCATTTCAAAATATAACTGACTGTCCAACACTACTTTCAAACTCTATATCTAAAATAAAAAAGTCCTTTAATACTAATTATCTCTTCAACTTGCTCAGAAATTTCTTATATCTTTCAATCTCAATCTTCACTGGCTTCAAATCTTCTGAAATGTTAAAATAGCCACACTCTTTGTAATGCCACCTTTTCATCCTCTGCACCAACTTTATCCAAGAATCCTCAATTTTTCTATCAAGTACTTGAGTACAATAATGTTCGAATTCGTCAATGTGTATCTTCTCGAATAATTTGATATCTTTTCTTCGTCCTAATAAAGTCCAATCAAATATACGTTATTAGATCACATTAAATAAATGGACAGGTAAATGGAATTGATATATGTACCTAGCTTCATTAATGGCACCGTGTGAAATAATAATACACCCCAAAATTCTTTTGGCGATATTTCGGAGCGTAAACACTCGACTAATACTTGTGCCGCTTGATGAAAAAATTCGTCCTATTTGTATTTACCGTTATGATACTTGGTATATTTTATCCTATTTATGCATTTAGGTGAAAAATAAATATTACAATAGATTTTACCTGGATTAAAGAATGATACAATCTGTATCTTGACAAAAAATTAACGGATTCATTAGAATCCTTATCAACGGGAATACTATCTATGACTTCTTCAAACGTAATTTTACCTATTGATCAAATATAAAATTTAATATGTAAAAACATGAATATAAATACATAAAATAGCATCTAATGTATCATTCATTATTCACCGGTTTCAACATATTGTGTTAGAAACATGTTGCATATTGTTTTAAGATTTTCATCTTTTCCTGCTCGCATATAATAAATCATGGTTGAACCATATCTCTTTATCTGCATGTATTTAGTTCCCATAGTCTAATATACAAATTAATTTAAGTGTTTTTTTTTTAATAAAAAAAAAAAAAAAACTAAAATGCATGCATTGTTAATTACCGTGGTAATACACTTCTCATCAAATATTAATCCATTATCTTCACAAATTTTCAATATTTTTTCAAATTTTCTCTCGTTATCAAAAGGAATCTTTCCAATAAACTAGCAAAAAATCAAGTTATTGTTACACGAATTAAATCATAAAAAAAAATTTTTTTTAACAGGACCTTTTGCTTACTTCTTCTATATAGACTTTCCCATATATCTCGCAATGTTCCAGATATTTGAATCCGATCTGCCATAACGTAGAATGTGTTAATAATGGTTCTGCAAAGTTAATTAGGCATCGTTCACGGCTATAAAGTTAAGATCAAAATTTTCGTTAAGGAAGAAATTGACTGGATGAACGTTGTTTCCGACACGGAAAAAAAATTTTTTTACTAAAGGATACAAGCTCTTTTCACCTATTTTCTCATCTAAATCGACTTTGTAAAGTAAATCCATTAAATGCGATAATAACCAAGGATCGATATATTTGCAATAACCTAATGCCTAAATAATAAATATTTGTTTCAATAAATACAAAAATCAAACCACACCCGAATTTAATAAATCAAACATTAATTTAACATACATCATCAATACGTTGATAAAATATCCGTTTTAGGACTTGGCTAGTGGCATCAGGATATACGGAGAACCTTACGAAAATTGGCCCTAATATAGCTCTATAATTTAAAAAATTGTTGAATGAGATTAATCACGTGAAGCGTGCTATTGATCACGTAACTTACTTTATATCTGAGGAGGCACATCTAGGATATTTATGATAAATCAGAGCGATCAATCCTTCCAACCATGAAGAGCTCTTGCTTAAAATTGCATCAGGATCACCAGCTAATATTTTCAAAATCTTAACAAAGCTCTCCTCTAAAAATTTATTCTCCAGGATTATCGATTTTTGCAGTTGCCTAAAAAAAATAAATAAATAAAATAAATCATGATCACATGCAAGAACAAATTAATCTGATGCATTCATACGTGTCAACCATAATACGCACGAACACTGAGAGAGCCAATTTCTCCAGGCCAAGTCTGTATCATGTGAAGAAATTTTTGGTCTAGCCTTTATACATTTTATAACCGATTGTATGATATCGTTGATCACGATCTCTCTATTAATGAATTTATCACTTTCTACCGGAATAAGTATACTTCTTAGAAAATTTATCGCTTGCGGAAATAATCCTCGAAGGATTAATCTAGGAAGTTTATTAAAAAGATTAAATATGCTTAATATCATATAATTTAATTGAATGAATATAATCATAAATGTACTTGTATAATCTTGACCAGAAAACAACGGTGTTGCGCAGATTAGGACTTTCTCTTAATTCATTCAATTCCTCTTCTGTTAAAGCTAGAGAAAATTAAAAGATATCTGACATACATCACTGAAAATGTAAAAAGATATGTAATCGTTATAAGACATTATCAAAAAATACTTTACCTCCCAGAGGATAACATTCATTTAACCAAGTCACTAAATCCGTTGATAATCTCTGATATCTTTCAGATTTAATGAAATACATAATTCGACATAATTCCCAAATGGACATCATATCCCTAAACGTGTTGAGCTCTCTCTGAATATGTTCATCTTTATTTGGATTCTAATTATAAATCAAATTAAAGTTATATAATATTTAAATAATTAACGATAAAAAAAACGCACAAACCTCTTGAAGACTATTGATGTGTTTTACAATGGCGTTTACATAACTCCATGAAATATCACATAATAATTTTACCCGTGATCTTATAAAACGAATCGTACGCACAGATTATATAATCTACCTTCATAAAAAATATGTATTTTGATATTTAAATTAATTTAACTCACGATTTTTCGCGCCATTCTTTACTTGATGTTGCCCTAGATGCCTCTCGAAAAATAGAAAACGTTTCATTGTAAAACTAAAAGCGTAGGATTAATTTCGTGTTAATCTCGAAAAAATCAATTAATAGATTATTATATATATATATATACTTACTACTCTTCGAGAGTCTATATTATTTGCCAAAGAACAGTTGTAAACGCGAGTATCCAAAGTGTAATCCTCTTTCTTAACCTGTAAAATTATCATTAATTTTTTTTTTCTAATCGACGCGTTTAGTAATAATTAATAGGAGTACAATTTACTTTTTCATTTGGCTCTTTTCCAAAAACATAACACGTAAAATCTTCTGAACGAGTTGGATGGAACTTAACACCAGTACTTTGATTCGAATTAGACCAATAGTCCAGATCGTAAACAAGAGGTGGGTTAAGGTATATAATTTGTTTCTGAGCCTTTATATTAGGTTCATATGCTTCAGCTTGCCTTCCCTTTCCCTTATCGAACACGTCTTCCTTTAAGAAAGTTTCAGCATTTGCGGACTCCTCGTAGAATTGTGTTGAAGAAGGAAATGAACTTACACCTTCGAACTGTGAATAGTCTATCGGTGGAGGCTCAAAGGTGAAAGGTGTAAACTGCATAACCTTTGTGTCATCTTCTGAAAATAATGACATTGTTTTGATAATTCAAGTATAAATTACGCTTTCCCTCTTTTATTAAACGATTTTATTTTAAATTTTTTTTTTTGACAGTTTTGACACATTGTTCAACAAAGCTACACATCACGTGATAATTTCGCAAATACATTTTATTTGATCATACATACATATAATCATATAATCAATAACCCAAGAAAGATAAAATAAAAGCTACACCTAATGGTACGGTTATATTATCAATCCCCATTGGACTTATCGATTCAAAACAAGTGCTAGCAATTGCAGAAACAAAAGCTCCAGTAAAGTAATTCCAAGTTGATAAAGCAGGAGGAGTCATTATCCACCAAAAGACGAGTACCGAAAAAAACGTTGCAATGAAATTTGCTAGTGAACCTTCAATGGTTTTACGCCTACGAGAATCTCCTATAACTCGATAGTTGCGTGCTCCATATGTTTTGCCTATTATACTGGCAAACGCGTCGCCAAATGTCATGGCCATTATTCCAGCTACAAGAAATGATTTGCAATATAGTTGGTTGACTGCAATTATAAAAAAGAAAAAAAAAGAATAACATACCAATTGCAATGTATGCGCGTCCGCGTGGAAATCCGTCTTCCCAACCTTCGTGAAACCATCCAAATAGGAAAGCTGTTGAAAATACAAAATATACAGTACCAAGAGTAGCTCCTTCTGGGTCTACAAAAATTTAATAATAATAAATTGGAGCGATTCTTGCACTTAAACATCTAATCAACATTTGTAATGGAATTACCCATCGATTTAAACATCCTCGTCCTCAAAAAAATGTAATTAGAAATTATAAAAAAAACATTTAAGAGTACCACATATTCCCATTGATCAAATAAATATAAAAAAAAAAACATAAAGGTTCCAACAGATACATGAATAAATTTTCGAGAAATATGAACAGGAATTTTAAAAGTTCTTTGAATTATTTCAACGGTTATAAGAAGGGTTGATACATATCCAAAAGATATTGCGAAACTTCTTAGGGTTTTTGAAGTTGGTTCAGGTAGGAAAGACATTGTTTAAACTGACCCCTTATTGACATTCACATTCACTTTCTATTTTATCGGGTAAACAATACAGCAGGCCATGTTGTGACTTCGTTACACATTTATTTCAATTGATGATTATATCACGTGATATTAAAAGATGTTCAAGTGAAGACGATGTATCTTTATTGAAATGTAAAAAGATATTTAATCGACTAATTCTCTTCACCGAGATGAAATGTTCCTTTTCTAACGATCTCTCTTTGTTTCCTCAACCACTTACGATAATCTGCTACGGATTTAACTTTTTCCCCATAATAATCGGGGGCTGGATTTCGAAGCGAATGTAAGGATGGATCCGCCCTATTCTTTTTAACGTGTTTATAGAATTCTCGATCGCACTAATTTTAATAGTTTCGAATCCATGGATAAATAATGAAGTTAATATCATTAAAAATATTTTTTTTAAATCGACGAGAATACATAGTATCATCAATTAGTGGATAAATTAAAAAATGGGGGGCTCATAAAAGTATTACAACAACTCATTCAAATACCTGTTCCATTAATTTAACTTGCTTTCTATGAAATAATTTCCAAATTGAACTTCCAATGACGGGTCCCATCAACAAACCTGTAACACCACATACAATTGTTCCGATTCCATAAATTAAGAAAGGATCTTGTCCCAATATCGGGGTCGGATCAAATTCCCTAGAAGCAACATATGCAAAACTAAACCCAAACCCTCCAATTGTTGTTGGAACTGTAACGAATCGCTCAGTTAATCGTCTTTTACGTCTTAATGCAAAATATTCATTCCAAGTCAACTTTTTTTCTTGCTTCGAAGGATAATTATTATTATTTGTTGTGTAGTATTGTAAGTATATTGAGGGTTTTTGTAGAACTTTTGGTATGATAGGGGTTGGGGTTTTAAGCAACTTTGATGCAAATTTAAATGCCATTATTAAATAAAGTGAATATGTATAACCGGGATAAAACTTTTAAATTGTAACCTTTTATAAATTTTTATCTATGAGTGTTTGAACCCGGAATTTTTTATCAAGATAAAAAGAGGTCGAAAAAAATTTTTTTCTTGATAAAAATAGATTTAGTCGGCCAATGATAATTTCCGAGATCGTGTAACATCAAAAAATTCTTTCATATATCTTTTTTTTTTCATTTTCAAATTTCGAGAGCAAATAATTGCAATCAGTATGGCGTTATATAATTTTAAGCGGATTCAGCCGATTCCACCGGCTAACGATTTTTTGGATATTATACTTTCAAAAACTCAAAGAAAAACTCCAACCGTTATTCATAAGAACTATAAAATTGGAAGGATAAGACAATTTTACATGCGTAAAGTTAAGTTTACGCAAGACAGCTTTGAGGAAAAATTAAAAGCAATGCTCGAAGAGTTCCCTAAACTCGATGTAAGATTTACAAATTTATTATTTTTTTTTGTATCATAATTTTCTAATTTTCATCATTGTATTTATAGGAAATTCATCCATTCTATTCAGATTTGATGAATGTATTATATGATAAAGATCATTACAAGTTAGCATTAGGTCAAATAAATACCGCACGCCATATAATTGATCAAGTCGCTAAAGAGTATGTCCGTTTATTAAAATTTGGTGATTCACTATACCGATGCAAACAATTAAAAAAGGCTGCACTCGGAAGGTAATTTCATTATCCATATAAATTTAATTAAATGCGTTGCCAATCTCGAAGTTTTAATGGTTAAAATCTTGTCAATTAATTTTAGAATGGCCACTATAATGAAACGACAAAAGGATAGTTTAGCTTATTTAGAGCAAGTTCGTCAGCATTTGTCTCGCCTTCCTTCGATTGATCCAAATACTAGAACACTCTTGATTTGTGGTTATCCAAATGTTGGAAAATCAAGTTTCATGAATAAAATTACTAGGGCAGATGTCGATGTGCAACCCTACGCTTTCACAACAAAGTCATTATTTGTTGGACATATGGATTATAAATATCTTAGATGGCAGGTAAATAATAGGTTAGGCAATTTAAATCTTTATATTGAAATGGAACATTAAAAATACTCTTTTTGATTAGATAATCGATACACCAGGTATATTGGATCATCCACTTGAGCAAATGAATACAATTGAAATGCAGTCTGTTACGGCGTTAGCGCATCTTCGTGCGTGTATCATGTTTTTTATGGATCTTTCAGAACAATGTGGATATAGTGTTAAAGATCAGGTTAGGAAATTCAATTGTTTTCGATTATGACATGTTTCCTTGCGATATCATTCATAAATTATCACTTCACTTGTAGATAACTTTATACCAAAATGTCAAACCTTTATTTGTTAATAAACCGACATTCATTGTTATAAATAAAATTGATGTCACTCGTCCGGAAGATTTACCCGAAGATGAGCAACTAATGTTAAAAGAAATTGCCGAAAAGGATGGTGTTCAAATAGTTAAATTGAGTTGTTTTACAGATGAAGGGGTTATGGACGTTAGAAATGCTGTAAGTCGTAAAATTTTAATTATCCACCATTAAGTGACAGCAATGACACTTTTACTCACGTTATTTTATTAGGCATGCGATAAATTGTTGGCGGCTCGTGTTGATTTTAAACTTAGAGGAAATAAAATCAACGATGTCATTAACAAGATCCATCTTGCTGAACCACTAGCACGTGACGATATACCACGTCCACCCGTTATACCTGAACAGGTTAAGGGTAGATCATTATATGATATTAAAGATCCAACAAGGCGTCAATTGGAGAGGGACTTGGAAGCCAATAGTGGCGGGCCGGGTGTATATAACGTTGATCTAAATAGTGAGTTCCGGATATATATTAAGTAGGAACGAAACATTATATATTAGTTTTAACATAAATTTATTGTTTCTCAGAGAAATATCAATTGAAAAATGAAGGATGGAAATATGACGTCGTTCCAGAAATTATGGATGGCAAGAATGTAATGGACTTTGTTGACTCTGATATTGCAGAAAAATTGGACGCATTAGAACGTGAGGAAGAAAAACTCACCGTTGAGGGATATTATGATTCTGCAGAAGAAATGGTAAGAAATAAAGTAGATATTAGTTATCTACGATTTTTTTTATTAATTTTATATTTAAATAATGTTCTATTAAGGTCGACTCGGAAGAAGAAGAAACAAAGAAATTAGCAGAAGCTATCAAAAAGAAAAAGAAATTGATTGTGCAAGCTCATAGAGCTAGCAAAATGATGAAAAATCGCCCTATTATGCCTAGAACCGCAATAACAAAGGTAAAATTATGATATTAATAATTCAATTATGTATCATCACCATATCTAAAATTATTATTATTATTTATTATTACGCATAGTCTATTAAAGAAGTAGAAGAACAATTAGGTCAATTAGGATTGGATACAAGTGCAATACGTGCACGTAGTCTAACTAGAAAACGTAAGAGGTCAGAAACCGATGATATGGATGTTGATTATTCACCATCATCTACACAAGGATCACGTTCTAAAAGTGCAGCTCGTTCGAAAAGTGCTGTGCGTGACCGCAGTGTTGCTGGATTGGCCGATATTAAGGTGCTATATAATATTCTTTTTTATTTTAAATATTTATGAAAAAAAATTTTTTTGTATTTTTATTAATCTTATATCTTTTATAGCAACAAAAAGAAACTCAGAAACGAAAGAAACTTTCACAAAGAAAATCTAATTTGTTTGCTAAAGTTGGAGAATCTGATAGAAGTATTAGAGTTAAGAGACCTAAACATTTATTCGGTTCTAAAATGTCTAATGGAAAGAAAGACTGGCGTTAAAGTTTGATGTTTTGTTATTATTTAAGTATTTTAATTTTAAAGTAAATAAATATATTTGACCAAAAAAAAAACAAAAGAATCGTTGAATCTATAAAACTCAATAAACTAGCAACGTCTTGTATACTGTGAAAAAATATTCCATTGCTGCTTTATAAAAAAAAATTTCTAGAGATGTCAAACTTTTTTTTAGTTTCAGTTCAATCCTTACGGAATGCTGAAATTACTTCGAGGGTACCAATACATTCCTCATGAGATCGTCGAAAAACAGTATTTTCCACATCGATAAAGGCTTTTTTGTAACATCATGAGTATCATTTAATGCAAAAGTGTTGAAATCAAATATTTTCTCATATGATTTCAGATTCTAGCTTATCAGGATGTAAAGTAATAGTAAGTAACTTTTCCATCAAAATATCCGGCCATTTGGTAAATCACAAGTAAAATGACAAGTGACACATATTACGTCATTATAGGTCTATTATAAAGCTGACCAATTAATATAAGTGTAACATAAGATTTCCTTCTAATAATTACGTCATATGTGTCACTCGCGTAATCAAAACACTATCCACGTGAAAATGCGTACATCCACGTGACTTATTATATTTTAAGTGTCGCGAAAAAAAAAATTTAAAACATATTTCTTTAATATGACCGATTATTTTAAAAAACAAAACCCATCTTCTTTTTCATTTTTGAATTTTTTATGTTTTAAATTGTTATATGAGAACGAGAGAGTGAGTTGGAAATCGAAGAAAGAAGAGTTCGAGTTGTATTGTCGAGATTTAAAACTTTACCTTCGGGATCAAGTTGTTATTGAAGATTTAAGAGAAAAATGGAGTGAACTCATTGAATCTCAGGTATGGTATCTCTTTTGGGATCCTAGTACGGCCTGCTTTGCTCGTGGTCCCGAGGGGATCCTAGTACGGCTTGCTTTGCTTGTGGTCCCTTAAAATTCTCTTGATGTAAGTTTCTTCTCTTAATAATCACCAGGAAGAGAAAGACTCTCAAGAAGTTCAGACGTTATGGAAGGGTGTGATGAGCAATACCGGCGGAATAACCTTTTACTACTTCATGGATGATCTCAAAAAAGATTTGGAACAAAATATGGAAACCGTCTTAGATGAAGGTTACTACATTTTTAGTATTTAAACAGTTTTATTCAGCATGGACAATGCTAACCTTATTCATTCCGTAATACTAGATTATGCTACAACTGTTACAACTCAGACGTCTAGATCCTCAAGAACTTCAAGATCTAAAGGACCCTCTAAATCACCATTTTACGGAACAAACAAAAAGAAAAGGAAGAACTAGATAATCAAATTCTACTCCAAGAAGTAAAAGATCGATATGAAACTTTAGCTGTAAGTGCTCCTCAAGAGTTCATATGCTTACCCATTATCATTTATCCACTTTTAGTTATCTTTTTTTTAGAGTGAATCTATTTATGAAATTATACGCAGAATCTCAGAAAAAATGAAATCTATTGACCTTGCCAAGCTCTCGTTTAATAACCCGTTACTCTCATTTATATTGGACCTGGATCGAATTGATCCTATTATTAATGATTTGATACCAAAATCTTTACTGGAAGAAGCAAGCCAATATGAAAATGTTCGAAATTGGAAGGGTTTTACGACGGAATTCATAAAGTGGATCGATAGCTTATTAAATGGTCAGGAACCTCAAAATCTAGAAAGACAGCAAGAAGAGTGCGAATACATCAAAATTATGTACCGATCCTTGTATGTATCAATTCGCTAAATTATTTTCACTTTTTATGTCGTTGATCATATATGTATGTAAATCAATTTACAGAAAAGAAGTGTGGGACCGTGGTCGATATCAAAATAAGCTAAAAGATGATTGTTCGATCCTTGAAGACACACATATTCACGAGATTATGCATAATATCATATACAATACAATTAAAGATTCAAACGGGAAGATTGCAATAGACTGGTAATATAATTAATGAAATATGTGATGAGTATAATGGTGAATATGTAATTAATGAGAATTATATGTTACTAAAAATTTATTCATAAGGACTCGAAAGACTTCGGAGGAGGGAAATGAAAAAGTCGACTTAGACTATGACATATGGTTAAGTCAAATGAAGGCAACTGAACGGAAAATACAACAAACTACATTCCGATCACGAAACATTCCAGACTGGATGGCACAGTATCGTATTGGTGATTTTTTGTACGAGTTTTTGTATGGTGAAGCCGCCGGTCCACTGTATCGATCTACTACTGTTCGAACTGAAGGAAATCGTCGGAAATTAATTCGTTTTATGTCTCGAAGTGTACGACGAGCAAAAGAAAAACTTGTCTCACAATTTTCCAATATTGCCGATGACGTATAGTTGCGGGACGAAACCATAATAGGCTAATGTCGAAAGTCGAAACTAAATCCGTCGAAAGTCTAAACGTTTCGACAGGTTTCGGCGGGTTTAAATAGGCGTCGAAACGCCTAAACTTAGTCGAAACTTCAGACCAATCAAAATCGGTCATCCGTGTTCATCATTCAGCCCATCCCAGAATTTCGGAGGGCTTCGGCAATTACAAAGAGAGAGGTAAGTAAAATTTAAAATTTTTA